TCTAGGTTTAGGCTTCGCTTGTAGGGAATCAAACCCCGGTCTTCGGCGTGACGACCGAACGTTTTATCCGCATGGCTCCTCTACTGCCATGTTCAGTTTGGATAAACAAGTGGGTTGGAGATGCTTTTCAGCCTTTCTTCAGATTATATAAGAGAGACACAGAGACTGTGTTATTGAATAATTCTTCAGTGTTCCTCAAACTAGAGGAGATTGCAATTTACTTACTTCGTTGTTTGCAAATACTTGCTATCTACGTAAACCTCTAGGTTTGTAAATGACGGGTTTGTCAAGCTTTATTGTGCTGTAGTATTGTGCTGTTCTTGCAAACGTGCAAATTGATTTACAATGAGATAACTCTTTGAAGCTCTCATAAATCACTTTTCTTTCGCATTTGTGAACACTGCGTGTATTCATGTTATTCTTTTTAAGGGAATGTGAAGATGTATACTTTCTGGGAGCCGTTATTTTATGTTTATGTATGTGTGGGTATATACTTTATCATCTCCACATTTACTTTACATAACCTATAATACTAAAAAAGGCTGGACCATGAAAACAAGTTGACTAGGCTGTTAGGTGTATAATCGTTGTACGATCATATAATACTCAAATGTGTTTACTTTAGAAGTTTTTAACTGTTTTGTATCTAAACGATTTATTTGTTAAGCCAAAGCGTGTTAAAAACTTGACTTTGTTTGCACTGTGTAGTTGTCGTAGCACAACACAAACAGCAGGGATTCCAACAGAAAACATGTCAGTTTTCATACATGTGAACCTTGCATAAATGCACAACTGAAATATGATCAGACACCCGGTGTCTTGGAAAAGGGTGAACAAGTCCTGCTCTACTCTTACGTGGAGCACTCTTCACTCGCACAGTTTGAAAACAATGAATTCTACAATCTATGACTCATGCATGTTGCTGTATTTACTAAACCAAAATGACAAAATAGTTAAAGATTCAAGTCTATAACATGTTTGGATTGGCCAATGTGATTATAGTAATAGATTGTGATAAATCAGAAATAACGGTAACGCACAGTGACTAGCTGATTTCATTGCCCTTTTTAAATTTACAAGGTTTGGTTAACTAATCAATACCCTAGGAAGAATATGCCAATGTGATTATAGTAATAGATTGTGGGGTAGCCTAGTGGTTAAAGCGTTGGCTCGTCACGCCGAAGACCCGGGTTCGATTCCCCACATGGGTACAATGTGTGAAGCCCATTTCTGGTGTCCCCCGCCGTGATGTTGCTGGAATATCGCTAAAAGCGGCGTAAAACCCAACTCACTCACTCACTCATGTTACGACTATGAGATCCTGCCCCTGTAATATGGTACAGATCATTTGCTTGTCTGCACAAAACATGACAAATTCTTGTCGCTTTGGAACTTAAACATTTTCCTGAACATAACAAACCCTTGATTTGTTCCTGAAAGTATCCTGTCGCAGAGAGTTGTGCAAGTCGATAAATCGTCATATGTTTTCTGGAGGAGTCATCACAATGGCGAATGAATAACAATTCCTCTTATAATCAGGCCTTGTAAGTCCTGTGGGAGATTTTACTGAAAGCGACTTCGAGTTATAAGTACTGTTGTGGACGATCGCACTTGAGAGCGACGGTGACTTCCAGTAAAACGTACTGTTGTGATCTATCGCACTTGAGAGCGACGGTGATTTCGAGTAATACGTATGTTGTGATCTATCGCACTTGACTTCGGTGACTTCGAGTAATACGTACAGCTGTGATCTATCACACTTGAGAGCGAAGATGACTTCGAGTAATACGTACTGTTGTGAACTATCGCACTTGAGAGCGAAGATGACTTCGAGTAATACGTACTGTAGTGAACTATCGCACTTGAGCTAATCATTATATCATAGACTATAAATTACTATTATTGTAGCTATCAGTATTTCAAATATGCTACAACGTATCTTTTAGATATTTCATTTAGTTTGACACTATCGGGAAATAATGTGGCTTGTGGCGAATTTTCATATATTGAAGTGATTACTGGTGGAAGAATTAATAGTGCAGGTTCTGGAATTGGCTGGAGTCTTACTTTCAGGGATCGAATTATTCTGCCCTGCATCTTCGAGTAAATTAACATGAAGAATCAGATTTCGTATGGTTCTGTTATTGTCTTATATATAATAAAAGAATAACTTCAACACCTACTACCACTGCATCACATGTCCACGTTTACAAGAGCAAAGAATTACAAAGCTATGTGCCTGAATTCATTTCTTGTGTGTAATCGTGCGATTTTGCTCACAATACATTGACAAATTATTCGGGTTATGAGTTAAATCTTGTCATGATACCTATAAACATACTTTCATTCATTTACAACCTCCAAACTTGAAACAAAACAACATGAATTTTGTGCACAATTAGAAATTCTCGCCCATGGGCGAGATATTTTCAATTTTTAATATCGCCCTAATTTTGTCAAATCCTTTGTCAGAAAGTGGCCACAGTGCGGAGAGTTTCTGGACTTTCGTGTTTCCAGAATTTAATTGTGACGTGTTTTCCTATGTTCTGCACGCCATGTCTGTATATGCTCTAGATATAATAACCGCAGTAAACGAAACTCGCAAGTCATGACGCAATTCTACGTGTTACTTCATTCGTAGATCTAACAACGATAGGTAAGTGTTTCAGAGATCGTTCCACAGATGTAAATAATCATTGTTGCGCTGTTTCTTCATGGAGCCTCTGGTTTTTACGTCACGCGACAACAGTTTCATGTTTGTTTAGTTCAGTTCCAACCAAAGTACAGTCGAGCACCGTTGTCTCGATATTCATGGGACCATGAAAAAAGATCGAGTTATCCGAACTTCGAGACATCCGACCAGAATATATCACATATCACTATCAAAGAAAACAAATCGCTTCTCAGTATGTTTTGATTCGAAACTATAACCCCTTATCAGTAGTGTTTAGTCGTAACAGTGCGTACTTCCTAATCAATTGCTTCTTAATTAATCGACCCGTGAAGATCCGGGGTAGAATAGGTCTTCAGCAACCCATGTGCTTGCCATAACAAGGCGACTATCTTGTCGTAAGAGGCGACTAACGGGATCGGGTGGTCAGTTTCGCTGACTTGGTTGACAAATGTCATCGGTTCCCAATTGCGCAGATCGATGCTCATGCTGTTGATCACTGGATTGTCTGGTCCAGACTCGATTATTTACAGACCGCCGCCATATAGCTGGAATATTGCTGAGTGCGGCGTAAAACTAAACTCACTCACCCACTCTTAATTAATCCTAATTAAATAACAAACAAGTGACACCTTCAACTCAATTAGCCCCAATTAGTTTACACTACCGCACCCCTTTGATTCATGCCGGACCGTGTGGAAACAACCTCAGTTCAGAGGGATACTTGCCTATGAAAGGTAGGTGTATATGGAGTTTCTTTGCAAATATCGAGTTAAAAGGGTAATTTTGCTTGTTGGGACCATTTTGCCGGGACCGAGATGTTATATCGAGACAACCGAGATATCGAGTTATCAGAGTTCGACACAACGGTGCTCGACTGTATTTCAAACATTCCACTTTCTACAATTACATGAATGTGATGTGATAATTGTACAGACTTATAACCGGAAACGGACAGTGAATGGCAACCGTTTGATCAAGAAACACGAAAGACAAACATGAAGTTTATTTATTATTGTTAAACATTCAGAAAACATAAACATGTTGGGGCTTATACAATACACAGATAAGAAAACTCTGAGTTTGTGGCAAGAGAAGACCCGCATGACTTTACTGGGAGGATGCTTGTAATATTGGCTGTAATTGATGGTATGCTTGAAGTGAGGGTACACAAGGAAAGGAACAATTTCGGAATGGTATCATTCATCAAACATTTGACAAAAAAAGAAATACCATAATATTCCTCAAGCGTTCATACATTAGTCTGAAGTGCTTCCTTCAGGTTGAAACGTTAGTGTTGTCTGTAACCACAGAAGAAGAATGATATAGCTCTTCTCAAGGTAGTTTTGTTACTTTCATGCTCTCAACTGCTAAGTGACATAATGTCTTTAGTCGTGTAGGATATGCATGAAGAGATGACGGAAACAGCTCTGCTTTTCTGTGACCATATATAAAACAAAGCACATTGTACACACTTATGTCTGAGGAATTGTCATGAAAAGGTAGAAACATGCAAAATGAGATCAAGTTGGTTCTTAACACGGATTTGAACGGTAGCTGAATTAACTCAGTGCGTGTAAGCTTAATGTTGGAAGAAAGTAGGAATTGATGCAGTTCAGCATCCTTTGAAACCCTATGTCAAGGGTTGGTGCTGGCAGACCAAGGATTCGGTTTGAGGTTTGCGAACATTGATCATTAATCATTGGGGCAGCTCAGATGACTGACACCATTGTACCATAGTGAACGTAAATGCCAACACTGGCGAGGGGGAATAAGACCATTATTTATGAAAATAGCAATAAGCTGATTAAGCCGTTCTGGAGAGCCTTTCACGGCGTTATACATAGCAGTATACGCTTGTACACATGTAGCTGCTGCTGAATATCATGCTTAATGATATTCATATTTGCAATAATTATTATATGTAGATAATACATAAGTGTCATCCTTTCATTTCAAATACAATAGTAACAAAATCCAAAATACAATATACACAATCATCACAGCTCCAAGATCAACATGTTACATATTTTAAAAAAGACTTGTCTTAATAGAAACTTACATATTATGACGTTAACGTGTTTGCAACAGGTCTGCATACTTTCATTGTGGTGACCTACTTGGATGGCTAGAGTTCACACAGAGACAAAACCAACACACTGACATACATTGTACTCTGCTGACACTCTTTATGTCTTCTCTACTGAATGCTATACCGTAGACATGCTAAATGTTCACTTCAGGGCTCGATTTATGGAAGGGCGCTGGGGTAGCCTAGTGGTTAAAGCGTCCGCTCATCACACCAAAGGCCTGGGTTCGATTCCCCACGTGTGTGCAATATGTGAAGCCCATTTATGTCATCCCCCGCCGTGATATTGCTAAAAGCGGCGTAAAACTCTACTCACTCGCTCACGATTTAAGGAAATGAAAACTACTTGCACCAGGTGGCGCCTTATGTACTGACGTTGCTTCACCTGCTGTTCAATATGTAATTATATATAATGCTTGAGTTTTGATATTGATTACTTAGAACATCACTATAACAGAATTATTCTGTGTTTGATAAGATCAGTTTGCCTTACTTTGTAATTTCATGATATGAAAATTAACAGTCATTCAATCAGTGGAGTCATCGGAGCCACTCCTCCAAGGCAGTTCCTCGTCATTCTTTTTCCAGCTACGTCTGTGGTCTTTGAACAGCAAATATAAACATGCACTTGGTGCACGTAGGTATAAATATGAAGTTGCATTCAGCACAATTGCAAGTTCTAAATTTTTAAATCGAGCCCAGATAATGATGTTGAAACATACAGTAAGACAGATGATACAGCTTGATATATCATCCTGACAAAGGTTCTGTTGTTTTGAGCAGGAATATTAAGCAGGTGCCCACTGAAGAAGACTATTATGAAGAAGTAGAATGCATATTGAGGCATATCCGATCATTCGCGACAACACATTGTCTTGGAACATCGATCAAAGAAACTACATGAATAGGTCGTTTTTAATAGGAACATTCATATCAAGACAAACTGGGTTGATGTGTATATAAAAAATGGAAACTGATGTATACATATCAATGACTGAATACACCAGAGAATGCACTCACAAAGACTTATATTCGTCCTCGACCAAGGTGAAATTAACATTTTGACACCCTTTGTATTTCATTTTTTCACCCCCGTTCACAAGTGAATGTAACTAACACGTGTTACATATGTTATAAAGCAATACTGAATATTTCGCTCCATTTAGCGATCCCGTGATAAGTTGAAAATGGCTACATTCGTTGATGGACCCAGACATGTCACTCATAGTACCTTCTTTTTCTTCTTTCTTAGTTTATGGTGACTATTTAAAACGATCACCATTTCCAGTTTCAGAATATCGGCTCCTTTGAAAGGATAGCATGCCTTGTGATTAGCAGTTGAAATCGCGAGAGATCTCGCAGACCGTTTTATTATTCTATTCACGTAGCAACGCACTAGTTAATGAAGTGTCATATAATATCCACTGTCTTGCACATGTTCTTCAAGTTATGCGCCCATACCGTGTTCAACAACGCTTTGCACATAATGCTTAAACCTCTTCAAACTGTCATTTTGAAAGAACCCCATCATTTGTACAATCATAGTTCGTGCGAACATACCGAATCACCGATGAATTTTGTTTGTTGTTGTTCGTTCTTGAAAATGGATATTGTTCCAGTCACATTCCAATGTAATGAATAATGTATAATGTTGTCCTATGACGGCGAAGATGTCTAACGTATACCTTTGCATACACTTCAACAAAACCACTTCTTGAACAAACATGAAAAACACAAAATGGTTATGACAAGGAAGGTCAAATAAGTCACACAGTATAAATGCATGTTAAATACAGTTTCTTTAAGAAACAACAAATTCGACAAAATGTTTCATAAAAACAAGAAAGGAAACACGCACTTCTGGAAACTAAGAAAGTATGGTGAAGTTTCATTCAGGACTATAAGTCTTGATCCTCAAAGGATAGTATTGCCCCAAACAAGATCAGTGTTATCCTCCCTGTCCCTCCTTCGTTGACGTAGTCTTTGCTACAGTATTGTTCACGCTATTCTTCATCTTGATGTTGATGTTCCCCTCGTTGCTGCCTGCCGTTCATGTTGACTTTCATTTTCACTTACTCAAGCCCATAGTCTTGGACGATCTTTTCGGAATAAATTTTGGTGTGACATTTTCACGTGATGGAGTAACAATACTCCGAGACGTCGTGCTCCTCGTAATACAGAAATTGGAATCCATAGAACTTCATCTGAAATCACAAACAAGCTCACAGAACTCCTTATTAATAACATTCTTCGTTCTCCGAGTCATTAGCCAAATGCATGGGAAGCACTATTTACGGCAATGGAGTTTCTGGTATTGGATTTAACTCTGCAGAGGTGTGCCATTTGTTGAAGTTGCCCTAAGAAACAGAACCATTTCTTTGATGATATTGGTAAGCAATGGTGAGAAATGATAGCATTCCCCTGTTTGCATGTGGTGTTTGCTTATCTATTTTCCAAATGTCAGCTTGAATCAAATATCATTGGTGTTCATTTAAACTATTTCATTCAGGTTTGAATGATGTCAAAGCCTGGAAGGAAAGCAACCATTTCATCATGTTGTGATCCATTATCTTGTAAAAGATACTTGTTTTTGGTCGCGTCTGTGTACTTATTTGATGTCAATCTCACCATGCTGTTGATCACCAGTTGGACATTGATCTACCAGGAATCTCATTCTGTTGTATGGCACTCACTGGAATCCATCCCATGCCATCGATAGAGGCCTGTTGATGGAGATAAAATCTCCATTAGGGCTCTGTGATGGATGTACACACAGACCCATTACTGCAGCACTTGATACAGATTGTGTATACACAAAGTTATTTCCATTCTGAATACCACAGCTCATACTTGAGCTGTCTGAGTGGCGGGTTGTTCCAGTAGGGCAGGATATGCAGACCCTTTCGTGAACACCAGGTGAGCACTGATTTTCAGTGACCAATTCAAATAATTTTCACTGCTGTTACGCCATTGGAATCTCCATCGTTCGATAACCGAGACAACATCTCTGACGTGGACGATTATATTTGCATTTGCAGACAAAACAGCACAGACGTGTTCCAATTATTCTCCTTCTCAACATGGCTGTTAAAATGACCATATCCACTCATATCCTGGTTCAGCGTTTGTACCTAAACGCATGGCTATATAACCACATGGTCATCAGCATGCGTTCCTCTGAACATCATCCCATCAGCGACATCACACTCTACATCACAATCTAACAGGGTGTCTGGATATTTCCCAGGGATTCGGGACTCACACATTAGGAAAGACTGTCGGGTAGTTTGTTTCAATGGAAGAATCGTTAGTTTCACACCTCCTCTGGTTCTGGTTCTTTGTTATAAATCGTCTTTTCCCTATAGATGACCTCCTCGCTCTCCCTGTCTATCAGTAGTAAGATGGCGGACCCGAACATGAAGATGGCTGACCCCCAGCCTACACCGTACGCCCAGCCGAACTCCCATTTGTGATGAGAGCGTTCGTGACTTACTTCCTCCAGAAACTTCACTGGGAAGATGATGAGAGCGATGACTTCAAACAAGGCTGAAACATGAAAGAAATGATTTTAGTGTATGTTTATTGTTTAACGCCATACGCCAATTTTTATGTGAAATATTTCATAAGCACACCGATGCAAAAGTATCGTATGATCGGTTCTTCATTGTTGACGCCTGGTAATATTTTGTTTTGTTATTGTTTAACGTCGCACGCAGCAATATTCAAGCTATATGGTAGCGGTCTGTAAATAACAGACCAGACAAAGCAGTGATCAACAGCATGGGCATCGATCTACGCGATTGGGACACGATGTGCCAATCAATTCACAAGCCTGCCGGCCCGATCCCGTTAGTACCCGTTACGACAAGCATGTTTTGCATTGGGCCTCGATTTTTCCTTTCAAGACCGCAATATTCTTCACATTCTCTGAACCAAGGTATGATCATTGTTGTACAGTGGAACGAGCTGCGAGACATAACATAACCTTAAAAAACCCATCAATTTCCTTTACAACGTTTTTACCAATGAGTATCTACCCAGATTAGTTTCACCGGATAATGGATGCATTTTATCCAGACCTAAAACCAGTTTTATTAACGGTGCCCAAGGGGTTCGTTACCTGCACCAGCGCCAGTTAAAAGCAATTAGTTTCTTATTGGGTCAGCAAAACAACAGCCTCAGCTGCATGGCCGACTCGTATAAAGGCCATGCAACGTATATGCTACATCACTCTGTACACGTTCATTAGAGGGGAGATTACCTGAAAGCTGCTATCATGTTGTCCATCACATGTAAGCAATCCCATCATCGTGACCCACAGGGCTATTATTTCCTGTCAGTTGACGATCAAATATTTGCGCTAATGATGCTCCTAGATCAATGTGGTTTAAAAATCAACTGAAATCATCCAGGCATTTTCCAGTAATGAAGTTAAAGGGTAGTCCTGAGAAGGAGCTCCGAAATGGGTCACAGGAATGATTTGTTTAATAGTCAGTTTTCTGCTTTTCCCCTTATAGATTCACTAAATGTATGATCAATCTGTATGTTTATCTCTAACAATCCCTGGGTACAATGTGTGAAGCCCATTTCTGGTGTCCCAAACCGGGATGTTGCTGGAATATTGCTAAAGGCGGCGTAAAACCAAAACTCAGTCAGTCAGTCAGTCAGTCAGTCTAACAATCCCACCAAGCTGGACTGGACAAGGTGCGCAATATGAAGTTACGTCCCTTTGGGATCAAGCATCCGATGATGGCTCCAACCAGGCTTTGCACTAAACATTGTTCTTGGTAATGTAGGCAACGGAAGCCACGCCTCATAGTCAACAGCAGCACTCACGTGTTTTATGATCCTATTGGGGATGGGTTATTGCAAAATTCTGCACGCAGGAGCTCCAGATAATCATACCAGGCTCCAGATCATCCATGACTCAGGGGTGGGGTAGCCTAGTGGGAAAAGCGTTCTCTTGTCACGCCAGAGGACCGGGTTCGATTCCCCACACGGGTGCAATGTGTGAAGTTCATTTCTGGTGTCCCCCGCCGTGATATTGCTGGAATGTTGCTAAAAACGGCGTAAAACCCAACTCACTCACTCCATGACTCAGCTGCTATGATTGTAATAAAATCTCAGAAAAATTGCGACATCACTCTGATCTGTAAGTCCCTTCACTTTCTTCCCGTCTTACGATATAAGGCACGCACACACGTACACGCACCCACACATACATCAGTCGCTAAACAAAAGGGAACCGGTTTTCAAGAGCCCTACTCTCAAGTCATTAGATATCACTACAGGTTCTTAAAGTGCAGCTCTGTAATTCAGAGCAAGGTCTTTCGCCCACAATGCAGCTGGGGAGAGGAATGTGTGTCTACTTCCTGTAGAGTTCTGATCAGTTTCTGCACTCAGTGAAAAGAAAACCGACATGTATCTTCCATTGATCTTTGAATATGCATAATACATAGACTTTTGTAAAGGCATATACCACACTGCGGTGAGGAGGTTACCGCTAATGTGGCCCTTTGGTATTAATACTATTATGAATGTACTTGACAACCGAGATCTCTCGCTATTCACATTAATTGTATATTTTTTTATTCAAAACCTAAAGGAACTACATCGGTAACATAAATTTTCGTAACACCCAAAATGTTAAATTATTTGTATATTTTTCGAAACTACGATTGTTTTTCAATATTTCGATTGAATGTTCGTAATTTCGACTCTATGCTCCTAATTTCAATTACGTATTTCGAGTTTGAAAAACAAAGCTACTCATATGGCATCATTGGGCTTTCATAATTTATTTTCACAGACGCTGTACAACCCCAATATATTCAATCAAGACAATATGTAAAAAACGACTTATAAACAACAAAAAAAGTTGGATTTTACAAATTCCCTTAATCTTTTACATACTGCGGTAAAACTTTTACATTTTGCGTTAGGCGTTTACGTATTGCGTTAAAGAAATTTTTTACATTTTGCGTTAATTTTATACGTATTGCGTTATTTTTTACGTTTTGCGTTAAGTTTTTATAATACGTCATATTGTCTTGACTTTACGTGATGGGGTTGTACAGACGCGCATGACATAGTGTTTGAAGCAGATAATGACTGCCTATCTGGGTCTCTGGGGTTACATGTCTACAGCGATTAAAAAACACATCCAGGGTAATGATGTGTTTCGGCCTTATCGCTCATACGGTGATGGATGTGATGCGCAGCCTAATGACTGGCGCATTTGTCAGAGGCTTCGGGAAATGACTTGATTAGTTGTTTCTGAAGGTTCGATCTCAGTGTATATGCTCAAGTAGCTATAATTAAGCCATTAACTGGCGAAATGGTGACATTACTATCCTCGATGAGGCAAATAGATGTAGATATTGAACTTATAAGTGTAACGTATCAAGGCCTGGTTTTGAAATCCTGATCAGTAAAATGTGTTCCGTTTTTATGTTCATGATCAATCATATCTTATGCTGACTCAATGTTATTCTTTCACTGATATATACAGATATATACAGATATATACAGATATATACTGACGGAAACAAACAAGGGAAAACATCCAAGTACAAGTGTGCCTATATTCTTTTCCATGTTACCCAGCATGGTCTGCATTGTATTGAGGGCGAAAAATAGTTGCATATCAGGGTTTTACCTCGACTCACAAACACGGGGTTTCCCGGAGCCCCTAATGCCTTGCTGGCAATACGAGAGTCCTGAGCTGTGTAGAGAACTGTATGTTTTGATAAAATTTTTCAGTGCCTGGAATGAATCATTGATCATGTGGACTGATGGGTGAAATGATGCATGTAACTGCACTGAAGAAACTACCAAGTACTTAGCAAAGTCGTGATGTGTTGTGGGTACAGTGAATATTGTGCATCCCTCTGGACACGGTGGATTTTTTCTACATATGTTCGTACTGGACGCACATTTGCGCGTCACGCGTTTGTTAGTGTACAGACAGCAATATGAAGCTGATGCCACATACACACATTAACGGTTTGTAAATAGCGCAACGTGGACAAGAGGACTACGAGCTGGGTGAACCTATATCGATCTTCAACTTCTGTATATAAACAATTATCCCACCCAATCCCCGTTTCAATGCATTGCGGTGTAAAACAATATTCATAGCCAACTCGTAGATGAGTGAATGAGTTTGTCACGCCGAATGCCCGGGTTCGATTCCCTACATGGGTACAATGTGTGAAACCATTTCTGTGCCCCAGTTGTGATATTGCTGTAACATTGCTAAAAGCGGCGTAAAACCATACTCACTCACTGAACCAAATAGAAAACGTTCAGTAGTTGGCCGACATCCAGTACTTACCTGCTATAAACATGATGGACAAAGCTGCTTTGTAATATGTGTACTTGGAGCGGAAGTTGTCTGTCCTTAACCCTATACATGCCACAACAATGGAGAGGAGACAGGTGGCTAGCGACAGCAAGCACATCGTCCTACACGCCTGTATCCATGCTGAAATTAAAACAGGAAAACACAGTTAACATATTTCAGTGTATAATGATTCATACAGGTTCTAAATGTAGATTTGGTTGTTGGTTGTTTATATAATGCCGCACTCAGCAATATTCCAGCTATATGGAGACAGTCTCAAAATAATCGAGTCTCCACCAGACTCGGGGTCAGTGATCAACTGCATGAGCATCAATCTACCCAATTGGGATACGATGCCATGTGTCAACCAAGTCAGCGAGCCTGACCACCCGATCCCGTTAGTCGCCTCTAACGACAAGCATGCTGCTGAAGACCAATGCTAACCCGGATCTTCACGGGTCTCCAAATGTTCGAGCAGTGCAGACTCGTGTAAAGGGAATGGTTTGTAAGATATAAAACGCTAGGCAAACAAAGTATCCACCCTTATTTGATGAAGGTCAAAAATGAAACAAACAGGAAATCTTTAAGAGTTGGTGATTGTGTTTAAGTATGAGTATGAAGGTTGCCTTTCAGATGTTAGGTTTGCAGTTTTTTGCGACTGGTTTTCCCCAGACGTTTAGATAACGTTTTCACTTTGGGGTTAAAACCAGCTTTCGAGTGTACACTTTTATTTGCCTGAACTGTATTAATCCATTGAAGACGATCATTCGGTGAATTTGAGAACCATCATACGTTTTGAGAGAAGTGAACTTTACTGTGTTCTGCCGTTTTTTTGTTATGTGAAATATACAAGGTACGTTATTCAATATAATTTTTATAACATTCATGCTGAATGATTTTTGTGGATAGGATATGACATTTTGAATTACAGCTGTGTTATGCATTATGAAGCAAGTCGATAGAAAACATGAGGTGTTGAAAGCTGTGGCATAACCTGGTATTTGAATTACCGTTATAATTTAGTATGCTGGTTGACATCTGTTATCTGGTTAGTTGCATTGTTGATGAACAAACGGAAAGTTGAATATTTGTGGTATGTTCTGTTCTGTTGAATGTCTGTGGCATAATCTTGTTCGTCGCATGGCTGATGTACAATGGGCATGTTGTCGTAGAATTAATTATTAATGTCTTATGTTGAATATACATTTACAGTGGTGTCGGAATTCGGAATGTACAGATGTCGTTTAAATGATGATAATATAGAAGAACGCTGCCAGGACCCAAAAATTATGTCGGAATTCACAGATTGTCGGATAATTCAGATGTCGGATTATACAGACTCCACTGTATATGGCAAAATCTGGCCGTTCGCATGGCGTACCATTTTGAATGACTGGTATAATCTGTTCAGTATATATGGCATAATCTGGTCTTTCGCATGGCTTGTGTACAAATGGTATGGTGAAGGATTATGGTATAGTCTCGTTTGTCAGATGACTAATGTATATTCTACAGCATTGTAAACACAATGGTACTCTTAAGTTGTCACTAAGGTTATTGGGCACGGTGAAACATACAACGGATCCCATCTTTGACGCCAGCAACATGTTTTGGTGAAACAAAGTATATCAACTCAGCAGCAAACATTAATCTTGATTATTAATATTTTATTCCTTTTGTCCGTGTAATTTATCACAGACGTATTATCCATCTTTCATAATTGTAATACCTTTCATGTGAAGCTTTATTAAATAAGGAATAGGACCATATAACATAGCAACAGAATCTATAAATATTATCCATAAAAACTCAGTACGGAAAGATCAGCCCGAAACAAAGTGAACGTTTTTGGTCCGCATTATATAAATATGACATTTAATTTAGGCGGCGCGTGTGTATGTCACTGGCATATCATGAATCCCGAATGAATTCTTGATTATAGCGGTATATTTGGAAACAGTGTTGGCCATTAATGGATCGTTTATCACCACCGGCTCAGTTGAGCTCGGTTGAGCCAGAATCTAATTTGGAAGATTTGTGAAGCCCGTGGTCTGTTAGGGATCTCTGCATATTTGCTTATATATTGATGCATTAGTGGTGGAATCAACTCGATACGAGCTTGCTGTCCACCAAACGGCGTTCTTCACCATTCATCCTAGGGTCTTTGCTTTAATCGTGCTCATAATATCTGCATACTGTTCACATTCAAATGCTAGGACTCGCATTGGAAATGTTGTGGTTTCAATTTAACGTTAAAGTGCCGCATAAGTAAGGTCCAGGTTTCACAATGGGACAATGTAGCAGTCGCATTAGATCCTCGTATGTGTTGTGGGTTATTTTTACAATGTTGTTTGTTGTTTAACGCCGCACTAAGCAATATTTCAGCCAGATGGCGGCGGTCTGTAAATAATCGAGTCGATCCAGTGATCATTTGAATGAGCATCGTTCTATGCAGTTAGGAAACGATGAATGTGTCAACTAAGTCAGCGAGCCTGACCACCCGATCCCATTAGTCGCCTCTTACGACAACCATGGGGTGGTGCAGATGCTTTCTAACCCGGATCTTCACGGGTGTACAAAAGTCAGTGTATGACAGTTCACATACATAAGTTTCGTAATAGGTTTGTTTAACGGTGAAAATTCATTGACATAGATATGTTGTTAATTTGGTTGTACAATGAGATAAAGCTGAGCGATTCAAACAATATAACATTCTATCTTATAGTTTCACTAAGAGATTCGGCTATTTCACAAACATGTGTCAAAAAGTGATGAAACCAGAAGTTTCGCGAAAAGATAAAGTTATTGTCCTATTGATAACCCCGTCATAAACATGGAAGGAAGTTAAGTGTTCATCTGAACAAACATTGGAACATACAGGACAAACATAAATAGGGAGTTTTATATAAGGAAATTCCACATGTCTGTTTTAAATATTTCAGAAAATATGTTGTGCTGTGAATCTGCACGTCTGGGTTCCGTTTTTCAAAGCTATCGTAGCGCCAAGACCTTAACATAGACTTCCCACCGCAGCGCTACGATCGTTATGTGCAATGGCACCCTGGGCACCGTTCCACAAATCGATGGTAGCGCTAAGATGATCGTAACTCCCATTATTTAACATAGACTTACGAATGTCGTAGCGTTACGATCGCTTTGAGGAACAGGGCCCTGATTTTTGTAATCTTGGCTGTAAGAGCTTGCTCGAGTGTTCATTAAAAGCTGTTGCGGAATAAAGACTCCCCAAAGGCTGGAGATTCTGGAATATTGCTCGAGGCAAACATAAAGTTTACACAAATAAACAACAATGGAAAATATTTCAAATTATTTATGAACAGGAAACAGAATACATGGGTGATAAAATTCACCAGAGTTTATAGAATCAGATTTCTGTTTCTAAAGAACGGCACTAACAACTTTTTGGTTCTTTACATCATTTTAGACGTCATCCAAGATTAACTTCACTTGCGTTTCTATTCAATTGCTCTTGCAAGAAAGGCCTCATTTCGCCTTTACGACTCATAGATTTAAAAGCCTACAGCATTTTGCTGTGTGAATGATTTTTGGCATTCGCTTTTCGTACTTTTTGTTTATTTTTTAAACCTCTCAGAGTTCTATCAGAAAGAATGCCCGAAGACATTCCTTCTTCAAAATAAGAATGTTAACCACCGAAACACTTAAACAAGTACGAGCTTCGCTCGTTTCGACTCAAGCCTGTGGGCAAAGTGCAATGTTACGATCTCAGTGATTCATAAACTTACACCAAGTGGCGTTCCGAGAGTGATGTGTACGTTCGTGTACATGTGCTTCTACATGTGCACGTGTGTGGGGATTCATATGCATGTGTGAGAGATGTGTAAGACAACTGAGAACGGATCGGAATGGCAACCAAATGATAATTTTAGAATTTTTCAGAACAAATATTATTTTGGCAAAATTTAAGTTGTATTCACTGATCATTTGACTTTCATAAAATGGATTAGAAGTTTCGTTCCGTAAACTAATCAAGTGTTTATCAACGGAAGCCAGACGACCTTAAACTACACACAGCAACAAATTGCAGCTGTAATAATTAACTGAACGACTTCCGGTCCTCCACACTTCGCGAACTATTTCATTCGTATCATGATGATTGTAGACAGTTTTAGACCAATGTTACCGACACTTGTACAAATTGCTACAGATAACATAAAACATATAGACGCTCAAGGGTATTCATATTATTATCTAGGACACAAGAACATACAAACGATGGCATCAAAATGGAAGCTAAATATGTAGGAGCCTTCATAACGAAGCACTATTGGGGTTAGACTATTCATGTATACTGTCGGACAAAAGCACAATACTCCCATTTATGATAGTAACCAAAATTTAACAAACTGAAATAAATTATCGATGGTGGTGTAATTGACTCGAATATGTTATTTCGCTATTTTGTATCTCGAGTTTGCAGTGTTCAGGCGATTGTTTTTCAGCCTAATAATGTTTTGATGAGATAATGCTATATTCATGCTCTTATTTTCAATTCTGCAATTTCTTAAACCCCAGATATGCATCGATGCTGCTCGCACAAAAACACACTGTCCGAGACAAATAATAATCATACACATGAAGGGAAGACAGAACTTACCTTTATCTGTGGCCAGGGAATGGAGAGGAAGGAAGGAAGAAAACAGAAGAGTTAGTGGCCAAAGGAATACACTGGTGTTCTTGCATTACTCTATTTGAATACTGAAGAAATATAGTTCTACATATGTGCATTGTGGCATTAATCATGCACAAAATATCGTCATGCATAATATACGTATAATAACATTTCATTTGTCAATTCTGGCTTTCGTTGCTTTCAGTAAATGCACCTTAAAAGTTAAGTAAACACATACCTTTATCTATATCCAGAATGAGAGTGAATAAAGGAAAAAGAGAGAAAATAATTTAGTAAATATTAGTAGAGCGAATAAGATAGATGCAGTAAAACTAATCCTCATACCGTACTTGAAAGGAGGTGGGTTAACTGGGTGATTAAAGCGTTCGCTTGTCACGAAGAATTCGAAGGACCGAGTTTGATTCTACTTATGGTTACAATGTTTGAAGTCCATTGTTGATGTCGCACACGCATGTTGCATTAGCCTTGCTAAACAAGCGTATAACCATTACTCACTTACTTAGAGTGAGTGAGTGAGTTTAGTTTTACGTCGCACTCAGCAATATCACAGCGATATGGCGGCGGTCTGTAAACGTACTTAGAAAAGTATTTATTGAATCAGCAATGAATGGTGATTCTGGCTTAAAATTGTCCACAGAATACCATGCTTGTCGTATAAAGCAATTTCGTGATTAAGCTGGTCGGAATCGGGAATGTGGTTGTTTAACCTGTCAACATACCCCGACGGAGTGGATTGTTGCTAATAATATCATTCACTGGTTTGTCTGGTCCAGACTCGATAACTGGACCGGCCGCACAAAGATTGTTATGTTTCTGAGTGCGGCGTTAAACAACAAACATGATTCATGATGGTGTCAGTTGTAAAGTAGAGAGGTGAAACAAGAGATGCTCATCATCATCATCATCATCATCATCATCATCATCATCATCATCATCATCATCATCATCAACAACATTATCCTCATTATCCACTGAGATTCGCGACGCCTTACCAAGTACTTTAGTTTTGCCATGAAAGAATATAAGAAAGTGCTAAAGAAATCCTATTATGTGAAAAACACACTATTTCGAGACGCGATCGTGTCAGTACATATTGAATAATTTAATAATGGAATCTGTTTTGAGTGACATCGACGTTAAAGGTTACCCTCATGTTTGCAACGACTTAAAAGAAACTCTTGACAGACTGAATTCATTGTTATTAAACCGTTACCTAATCGATTTAGACTTCAAAGGATGAACTGTCTTTATGACAGAATGTCATCCATAATATCAGTGTTTACGCAAGGCGGACAAACAAGCTGATAGGTTCGAAAAGAAGAGGACATGTAAATGGCAGATTGTTGGCAAATTGAACCAAAAGTGTGGACCTGATTTCACATAACGACCTTACAGCTAAAACTACAGGAAGTTTTTGCTAACAGTATCCTCAGAACTGAAAACGCATTGTGCGAATGGTCTTTGTCAACATATAATACCCATCAAAAGTTCAGACTCAAAAGTTTAAAGCACTCACTCTTTCTTATATATATATATACCTTATGCAGATGAATTGCACGAGGATCAGGCATCAAATTGCTGTAAAGCATGTGCAAATATCGTGCATGTGAACAGCTGCGTTTTGGTGTTCAGTGTTGTTGAGAATTCGCCAATTGTCGCTGAGTTTCATCATAAATTTATTGAACTCATGACAATAATCTATTCAACTTTACGAATTTGTTATACAATACATCAGTTCATGTGTAAACAGCACCTTTAAACAGTATGGAATATTTTGCAAAATCTAGTTTAGAACAGTTGACCGAAGTAAGTGGCTACATTTACACTAATACTAAACTTTTGATGGGTACGCTATTATGTTTTAGACTTTTAGTACAACGATCGATTCGTGCAAGTGGGATCAGGAATGAAACCCGTACAGTTCTTTCACTGGTAATTTTAATGTTTCACAAAGTTTAATCAAATTTTCACAAGTGAGATCTTAATTACGTTACTGGTACCAGGGAGACTCTATAATGTTGTAGAGTATCCCTGCTGGTACCTACGGATGAACAACAGTGACAAAATCTTTCTCAACCTCTTGCTTGTATCATTACGTCAGTCAGTACCATAATGTAAATAGCGAGTGTGGTTAAGGCAATTCGATGGTAGGTAGTATCACGATCAGCAATTGATAATTCACACAGCCTCATTATAGTAATCTTTGAGTGATCTATTTCGATAGATTGTCCCTTTGGCACGCAAGAAAACTATTATCATGGGTTCAAATCCCGGGTTCGCCCAAATAAGATTTCCAGGTTTGTCAGTACCAGTGCTCGAGGGTTTTTACTGAAGTGGAAAACGTCTAAGAACTGAATCACGTCGGTCTGTCCTCCGACATTAAAACCAAACTCACTCATTACTCGCTCTACCGACAAGTATAGAACCTGAAAACACAGCGTGACTAGGATTCCACTCAGGTATGAGTGAGCGAGTGAGTATGGTTTTACGCCCTTTTAGCAATATTCAAGCGATATCACAGCGGTGGACACCAGAAATGGGCTTCACACATTGTACCCATGTGGTTAATTGAACCGGGTCTTCGGCGTGACGAGCGAACGCTTTAACCACAAGGCTAGCCCACCGCCCCCGTCTACACAAGTATGCCCATACCTGATACTTCCAAATCAATTTGTTTCTGAGCTAGACTGCGTATTGTTTGGGACAGTACGGGTTCAAGACAGCATCGACAATGGTTGAATACAGATGAAATTAACTGTTATATATAACACTTCTCTTGTCAGACTCTGCTCTAAGGTTATACTTTCGAGGTTTCCGAGATTGAGACACAGTCGGAATTTATAGCTCTGAGGTGGACTTTCTTGCCAGGTCGGGGAAACGTCTGGGACATGGCCGTCATCCGTTCCATCCCTGTTGTCTCCGGGTCGCGCAATGAGATCACATGCGCAACCAACCCATGGCAAATCCCTATTTTCATTTGCAAGACGTGCAAAAAGTAGCCTCATGAGAAGTATTGATTTCGAAGTGTCATTGACAAATCCACATCAGTCCCAAGTGCCTTGGGCAGAGCTCCCAAATACGCCATGACGTCAATGTATGAACCCGTAGGCTCATTCGTCACAACATAGTCATACAACCGTACGCCTCGTTTGACTCAGAGAAGCAATTGAAGCTCATGAATACATGAAAATGTGATGACGAAGTTGGGCAGTCGTGGTGTGTCAAACCTTGTTTTGATCGTCTAGTGTTTACGAGAATTTCCTTAACTGTATGACGTTTGCCAGTCTTTGAAATTCAGACGCCGTTTCACGGTTTTAGTATCTCTGGATTTCTTTACACAAATCCTTTTAATTTTTAATTTGCATACTGCTGTTAACACTGACAAGAGTTGTTGAAGGAAAAAGTTTCCACAAGTTTTTAATAAATATATTTAATCAATCAATAAATAATTGATTGATTGATCGATTGATTGATATATTCAATATAAACAAGTGAGAGAGTGAGTTCTGTTTTATGCCGCTCTTAGCAATATTACAGCAATATCACATTGGAAATTATACTAACGGTTAGTCTCTGAATATATATAATTTCGACAATAGCAAAGAATTCCTTATATTGAAAATGAGCCTCAGTGAGATAGGATATTCAGAATCTGGTGTAATCTAGACTTTATCCGGGGCTTTAGCATTGCAGAAAGGGCTGGGCGGAAGGGGAAATAGTGCGGTTCAGGGACTGAGGGACAATAATACCATATATGGAATCGAACTCGGGTTTTCTGCGTGACGAGTGATCGCTGAAACCATAAGGCAACCTATCACCCGAACTGTAATGATAATTATATTAGAACAATTATTTGAATTATTACAACAGCAATTACAACTGGATATTTGACGACGTGGGGGTTAAATAATCTTATCAGATAATCGTGCACACATCACTCACCTCTTGGGTAATTCTTCTCGCAGTCAACTTGTTGGCTTATTCTATCGCGCCATTTGCATTTTTCCCACAAACCCTCACGAAAACCGTCGGCCTCCAGCCATGTCGTTGCAGCTATCGACAGCATCAGCAACATCACAGCAACACACCCGCATAGGACTGATATGACCTGAAACACAACAATTCGAGGTCAGCAACATTGCATACTTTCACAAACTTGAAGAACTAACATGGATGGACACTAGGTGTCAGCAACATTGCAGCACAACACTTCACAAACACCAAACACTGACATGGATGGACACTAGGTGTCAGCAACATTGCAGCACAACACTTCACAAACATGAAGCACTGACATGGATGGACACTAGGTGTCAGCAACATTGCAGCACAACACTTCACAAACATGAAGCACTGACATGGATGGACACTAGGTGTCAGCAACATTGCAGCACAACACTTCACAAACACCAAACACTGACATGGATGGACACTAAGTGTCAGCAACATTGCAGCACAACGCTGCACAAACACTGACATGGATGGACCCTAGGTGTCAGCAACATTGCAGCACAACACTTCACAAACATGAAGCACTGACATGGATGGACACTAGGTGTCAGCAACATTGCAGCACAACACTTCACAAACATGAAGCACTGACATGGATGGACACTAGGTGTCAGCAACATTGCAGCACAACGCTGCACAAACATGAAGCATTTTACACGGATTCACATCCGTTGTCGGCAACATCGTCACATCACTGCCGCCTTTATAACTGAAACCCGATGTCATCAACATTAAACATCGCATCATCACTACCGCCCTTATAACTGAAACCCGATGCCATCAACATTAAACATCGCATCATCACTACCGCCCTGATAACTGAAACCCGATGTCATCAACATTAAACATCGCATCATCACTACCGCCCTTATGACTGAAACCCGATGTCATCAACATTAAACATCGCATCATCACTACCGCCCTTATAACTGAAACCCGATATCATCAACATTAAACATCACAACCACATAGCGCTTATATGACCTACCACCCGGTGCCAACAACATCACAACCACATGGCGCTTATATGACCTACCACCCGGTGTCAACAACGGCGCAACCAAATGGCGCTTATACGACCTACCACCCGGTGTCTACAACATTACATCACCACAACCACATTATACGTATATGACCTGACGAAAAAAACAGCAATTATTGTACCAAAACATCAGAATATCCCTGATATTACTTGATAGAAAGCAAAATGACTGTTTCCACATAATGCTGTTCTGAATTTAAACAGAATCGACTGAGTTGATTTTTTTTAACTTTAAAACGAATTCGTTGAATGAATCAAAATGTGCATCCATGGCGGCAGCACAGAGTACACATTCATGTTGGTATTTCTCATGTGAAACTATTATTTATCGGATATTTGGGGTGGTACGCAAGTACTGAAGAGTTTTCATGAATCACCCTTTGGGAAAGACAATTAGCATAAGCAATGTTCTCAATGAGAATATGACGTGTGACAAATGTTTGTCCACTGACTGCCCGAAAGACGACTATCATGAAAGAGAGTGTAATGAGTCTTGTGGGCATACAGACAGCGCCCTTGTCTCGACTGATCCGAAAGTTATCAATAATACTCGCGTTAACATATGTCGCAGCCATGCAGTAAACGTTTCATCTCATATTCATGGCAATTTCCGGGACCTACTGAGACCAGGACTTTTATTTCAGGTTACTTGGACAGCGTTACTGCAAAGCTCGCAGTGTGAGTTATACCAGTGTCTATAGCTATGTAATACCGTGACAATGATAGAAACACAGTCAGTGCTATCCATTTTCCTTGTACAGCGTGTACTTTAAACAGGCTCCCAACACGAAAATGAACGCGATGTTTTTGCTATATATCTGTCGAGACGTCCATACAGGCCGATGTAATGTACATCGCTAAAAGTAACAAATCTGTTGGAAAATAATTATTCCTTCTGAATAAGCGAACGTACGCACTCATCATTCAACTGAATGCCTCTGTTTTTCTTGTCCCTGGTGGGGATGTTGTAAACAAGTCATTGCTATGAGTTAATGGGTAAACGTTTTAAGCAACACATCCGTTAACCACGGCATTGATTCATACAAATCCGTGACAGGGAAGGACAAAGGTTAGAGACAGTGAACCGAATTAACTGCACGTTCACAATATGATTTATGGGTGAGTGAGTGAGTTTGGTTTTACGCCGCTTTTTGCAGTATTCCAGCAATATGGCGGAGGATACCAGGAATGAGCTTCACACATTGTATTCATGTGGGGAATCGAACCCGGGTCTTCGGCGTGACGGGCGAACGCTTTAACCACTGGGCTACCCCCACCACCCCATATGATGTATGACTTTACTTAGTGATCACTGAATACAACACAGTACGTTGTAGACTTGAACATCCTTGATCAATGTATTGATCCCAATGAAGGAGAATTAATCTGCATCACCAAACCGTAAATGCAAATGAATGGTTTCAGGGTCCTGGAAATCGAACAGCAATGTCTGTTGTTTCATGGTTTGAAAGAAACGTGTCCAGTTCTCATTTGTGTCCATGGAGAAGGCAAATAACAGGCTCAACACTTCCATCGACGCAGCGACGACAGGTTTGTTTAGTGGTTAAAGCGCTCGCTCATCACGCCGAAGACCCGGGTTCGATTCCCCACATGGATACAATGTGTGAAGCCCAAATTCTGGTGTCCCCCGCCGCGATATTGCTTCACTATTGCTAAAAGCGGCGTAAAACTAAACTCACCTAATCGCTCATTCACTCCATCGACGCAGACTGTACCAATCATTTCAGAACACACTGCAAGGAGGTCGAAAGCTGTCAAATATGACTCCAGTGCCACTGAGATTTCTTGCAGAGGGCCACTAATTGCGACTTTGATACTGGTCATTCAGACGTGATGCCTTGGTCAAGCATCACTTTCCGCGGGGAATTGGCTAAGTATTATACCGTGGACGGTGATTCTCAGTGACACTTACATTGATGAATGCCATTCATTTCCCACCAATAGAGTAAGGAATTGAATGTGGCATGAAGAGCTTGAACTTGGTAACGGATCCATATGTTGCAGTAGAATGCTGAAGCAATACGAAAGTAAGATAGTTTATGGATGTCAACTTCTTGATTATATATGATAAAGAAGTTGTCATCCATAACGTATCTCACTTTCTTATTACTCACCAACTTCTAAAAATGCCAGTCAAACAAATAAAGCAATAAGAATAGTAATATTCTTCTTCACTGAACTTAGCCTGAAGGAATTTGTTTTAATAAAAGAATGATACCCGTTGGCTCGGTATGTCTAGGACTTTCAATTGATGCGGTTCTGAACTGAGAGTGAAATAGGTGCGTTTAACTCCGAACAACAATTCAGTTTTATGACGACGTTTGAACTAAATTTGGGAGAAAGTTCGAACTGGTCCATTACACAATCTTTTTTTAGTTCATTGTTTAACGCCGCGCTCAGACATATTCCAGTTTTATGGCGGCGGTCTGTAAATAATCGAGTTAGGACCAGACAATCTAGTGATTGAAATCATGAGCATCGATCTACGCAATAGGGATACGGTGTACACATCAACCAAGTCAGCGAGTCTGACCATACGACCCCGTTAGTCGCCTTTTATGACAAGCATGGGTTGCTGAAGATTAATTCTAATCCGAAAGTTCACAGGTCTATACACATGTACCAGTTTGATGAAACACCCAAGCAATATGTACAAAAACAACGATTCATAAACACAAAGCCTCAACATCAGGTTTTAGACACTGTTATTCCAGGAGTTGTTAAAATTCGTCCATGCAACTCAAAGCTGAAGTGATGTCCGTCACTAAATACATTTCGATATTTCTTTAGACCAAGAGGTTCCCTTCTTCTGTTCGCACCAGAACCAAACGTGCATGATGCTATCGAAAGGAGTCAGAGGTTTGAAAGTTATCCGACCCTACGAATCAGTATTTTAAAGCAGATATCTCCAAACCAAACAGGGTGTCACCATTAATGTGCAAAACAATACAACGCTAGCTCCTATCCGTGCCTGGTATCAACGAGATAGTGATGTACCATCACGCAAAACCCCTCTTCATTACCATCAGGTTAGAATTATTTACAGCCTTCGTGCTTGTGAGATTCAAATGAGTTAATGTAATCATACACTAAGGCAAAAACAAGTCGTAATCTTTTACGTAAATATGACCAGTGAAAATAATTATTCCCGTATCTATACTGTAAATTTAATGCCGTTGTTCGTTGAAATTGGTTGAGAGATAAAACGTACATAGTCTGAAAATATAGCATCGTTATGATTGCATGATGAAGTATTGTATTTTTTAGCAGAAAGTACAAGTGATTCAATAAGGTTCTTAAATGATTACTCCACGTTTGCTGTTGTGTCGGAACGTCCGTCATTGTGGTAAACATTGACGTCATAACGTTTGCGTCGAAATTTGCATACTGTCGATCCAGACTTCTTGCTCACATGCGTTAAATTCTTGATCAACTGCTTTCTCTGTAACAGGAAGAGCAAGCAAATAAGACATCCAGACTATCTGATCTCCCGAATTATTGTAAACTTACGTAATAGCGATATCGTGTGTGTTTTTAGGCGTAAGCGCGTTCTCGTTCAATACCTGAAGCATCAGCATCGAATTAAGGTCAAGGTCACGCCCGTTGTGCAAACACTTGGATCTTCATTAGATAAAAATAAAAGCTAGAAAATGCTTTTCTGACTGTTGACTCATTTCATCTGGTCTCTGTTTCGTGTCTTGCGTCGAGGCATTGACGTTAAATGCAAGCTGAAGTTGGCTCTGAAAAGACGTTTTCTCGTAGATAACACATAAATAATTTGAAAACCAAGATTCATTCACCAGTACTAAGCTGTCAGTGATGTGTGAGATTCTGCATTGAATAATATAAAACGTGTTTTCGTCCAATAGCCAATATACAAATCGTAACGTATTTCTCCATCGATTATACCGTCATGTTTCCGATCCTGTTACTTTGAAAATTTCGCTGCTTCTGAAACCCTGAGTTATGGGAACTGTTCCTTTGTCTTTGGAGCTATGGGATAAATCATTGTCTGAATAAGGAACGTTTTCGCT